AGACGCACATAGGCAGAACAAATCATGTTGAGTGAAATAAGCCAAGATCAGAGACAAACAGCACATGGTCTCCCTGATAAGTGGATGTTAAATTCAAAACGCAACGATATGACAAAGTAAACAGGACTCAAGAAACAAAGAACCTTTTCTTAATTTGTCAAATTGTTTTTAGATGACTCCATGTTTTTGACCCCACATATGGTGTATTCATGGGCACATCTGAGGGAAGCTAGGAGGAGGGCACAAAATCAGAGGGAAACAGGAAAAAATACAGTAGAGGGGTCCATCAGCTGCACTAGACATTGATTAAAGTGAACTAAGCAACTCAAGGGCAGCAATAGGAGGGAGAGAATGAGAGAAAAAGAGGGAACAGCTTACACTAAGCAAAAGGAAAGAATGTACATATCACCCAATTTGGAAGAAATAGTTGTATTGTCAAAGTTTATAGAGTCCACAAGCTTTATAAACCATGATAATGATAATTCACCTTGTGAAGGTTAAAAAATGCGTTTGTGATTTTAGCTAAATATCACTATCCTACAATACTGTGAAGTTTATGTACTCAGTCTCAATAAAGAAATAAAAAAGGCATTTTCAAAAAAAAAAAGATGCACATAGGCATTGTCTTTGTGTTCCTCTTGTAAGGTGTCTGTGTGTGAATGCCTGGAGTCCTGTATAATTTTTCATGTTCCGGTATATGTATTAGATCTAGCTTCCACGTGTGAGAGAAAAACATGGGCCATTTGTCTCTTTGAACTTGGCTAACCTCACTTAACATGATTTATTCTAGTTTAAAAGTTTTAATAGAGAATTTTGAAGTTGAGTTGGTTATTTGCCATTCACATTTAACATATTAAATTTTCATTATATGAATTAACATTATGCTGAATGTGAATTAACAGTATGTTAAGTGTGAATGTGTTATTTTTTTCTTAATTTTGCTTTTTTGTTGTTGTTCTTGTTGTATGGCTTGAACTTTGTGCCTGAGAGCTGTCCCTGTGCTCTTCAGCTTAAGGAGAGCACTCTACCACTTGAGCCACAGCACCACTTTGGGTTTTCAGGTGGTTAATATTGGATATGAGTCTCGCGGACTTGGCTTTGAACTGCGTTCCTCAGATCTCAGCCTCCTGAGTAGCTGGGATTACAGGTGTGAGCCACTGGCACCCTGCTGCATTATATTTTTATAAGAACTAGTTTTGAAGGAATATATATATTTTTAACTGTGCTGAATTTAAGCACAGTTGAGCTACCATTCAAAGTTAATTACAGTAACCTGCTTTATCTACTCCTTAGGCAAGAAAATGTAATGCTTATTAAAATTTAAAATTGGAGCAATGGGAAAGGCCTTTGAAATAAAACGTATTTCAGCACTACTCTTTCCTTTTTTTATCTTGAAAGTGTTTAAGAGACTTCTACAAAGTTTTATGTTATTTTTTTCTGAGTCTAGTACAGTTAAAAAATATACTTTTAGCCAGGCACTGGTGGCTCAAACCTGTAATCCTAGCTACTCAGGAAGCTGAGATCTGAGGAACACAGTTCAAAGCCAGCCCAGGCAAGGAAAGTTTGTGAGGCTCTTATCTCCAATTAACCACCAGAAAACCAAAAGTGGCACTGTGGCTCAAGTGGAGGGGTTGCCTTGAGCTGAAGAGCTCAGGGACAGTGTCCAGGCCCAGAGTTCAAGCCCCAAAACCGACAAAAAAAAAATACTTTCCATAAAAAAATTAACAATGAAATTAGGAAGAAAGGGAAAAGTAATGTCTTCTCTCTCAACCAGAGTTATTTGTCTTTTACTATATAGTTTTCTTTTTAATTTACTTACATAATGTTTTTGTTTTGTTTTGTTTTTTGCTGGACGTGGGACCTGAACTCTGGACCTAGGCACTGTTCCTCAGCTCTTCAGCTCAAGGCTAGTGCTCTACCACTTAAGCCACAGTGCTACTTCCAGCTTTTTCTGCTTATGTGGTGCTGAGGAATCGAACCCAGGACCTCATGCATGCAAGGCAAGCGCTCTACCACTGAGCCACCTTCCCAGCCCTACTTACATAATGTTTTACATTTGGTAATTTGCTAAATAGGGCACATTGGCTTTCACCCATAATTGCTAGGTTAAAAGGCACTTAATATTTAAATAATTCATTTATGGTTAATAACACAACTTTGTATCTGTTGTTGGTAGAGACTTTGGGAAAAAATACCACTAATTTTAGACATGAAATTATAAAGGTTTGCAAAGAACTTTGGTTCTTAGAAAAAATTTGGGACTTGATACTGCTGTTTTTCTGATTATTAGTGGAAAATGTTCTCTGCTTTAGGTTTTTCTGCTTTTCTTAGTTTGGGGACCACTATAGTTTGGATCTTTAACATTCCTAAAAGTACTTGGTCTCCACACTGGGGCTATTGAGAGGTGGTAAAACCTTTAAGTGATAAGGCCTAGTGTAAGGATCTGATTTTTTTTTAATTATTAAAAAGGAAATATATCATCTCTTTTTAAAATCCAATCTGCTTGCCCTTAGATCCATTCAATATCCAAATAGGTGGAGTTCCACCTACAGTTAGCAATATTGTCTAGTTGAGCACATCATCCATTCATGGTGATGAAGCATGTGCCCTTAGAGCCTCAAGGATAGTGGTGTTAGGAATGTGAAGTAAGCAGCTTCCAGTGGGGAGTGTGCTGGGGAAGAGGTGCATCTGAACACACAAAGGTCAATTGCTCACAGGCCCATTCCTCCATGCCTATACATTATACAGCAGTGAACAAAATGCTCACATTTCATTGTTTCATCAAACGTACATCCCTGTGAAGAGATGATGACCATCTATGCAAATACTAGGAAATGTGTCACACAGGGGACATACATGATGGAGCTGTTTTTAAAGCCAGGTTGTGGGCTTGAAAGTGATAGAGTGAAAGAAGTTGGAAAATTCTTAATTTGTGTTTCAAGGCAAGGGAGTTCTGAGTCCAGCGGCCCAAAAGGGGAACATGGTCAGGGTCATTCTTCCTATGGAACAGCAAGAGGCAGCACGCCTCAGATAGCACTGCTTCACTTTTTCTTCCCATTCATTTTTATTATTAAGTAATTGTACAAAGGTACAACTCTATAAGTCAGATTCTGAGTACAATGTTTGTTGGTCAGTATCATTCCTTCCTTGGTTCTTCCCTGTTTTTCTCCCTATTATCTATAGCTATCTACCTACCTACCTATTATCTATAGCTGTCTCCTACCTATTATCCATCTGTATCTGTTTGTTTCTCTATATCTATCATCCATCTATCTTGCAGCTGTAACCCTATGCTTGGCACATGATAGGCCTGTGCTCTGCTAACATCTCCAGTGCTGCCATAATTTAAAAGGATCACTCTGGTGCCATTGTTGTCATTAACTCTAAGGGGCAAAGCAAGAGCAGAGAGTGAGTTATGTATTTTCAGCAGGATGCTAGCAGTGGTAGTGAGAAAGGCTGCATCTTGGATACAGTAGAATTTGCTGGTGGAATTGGAAGTCCTTTGATGTCTTGGTGCCTTTGATGTTTTGGGCAACTGGAAGGATGTATGTCCACATTCTATGAGGCAGGGAAGCAGAGGGGAGAGCAAGTCCGAACATCCAAAACTGAAATGTGGAAAGGTTGACTCACAGATGACTGTTACTTATCTAAGGGAGGCAGGCAGTTAACTTTGAAGGTCTGAAAGTGTGGAGAGAATAGAACCAAAACAGTAAACTGGGTGTTAGCAAGTGAGCTAAGGAAGATTGTCCATTACTTTGGTTTTCATTTCACTTGTCAATATGACAGTTGAGGGATAATGATCAGGTGGGATAGAATCAAAGCCAGGGCCAGTGGTTCCTACTTTTGTTTTGGTGTCAGTCCTAGGCCTTGAGCTCAGCCTGTGTGCTGCCCCAGAGCTTTTTTGCTTAAGGCTAGCACCACCATTTGAGCCACAGCTCTACTTCTGGCTTTATATGATGGTTAATTAGAGATAAACAGTCTCTTGGACTTTCCTGCCTGGGCTGGCTTTGAACCTCAATCCTCAGATCTCAGCCTCCTAAATTGCTAGGATTATAGGCATAATCCTACCATTTATTTCTATTTTTAAACACCCCCATGTGATTCTCACACAGGTATCACAGGAACCAGCTTTGAGAAATACCATGCTGTACCTCCTGGCATTTGTAATTTCTCACAACTCACACTCATTCAACATCTCCATTCTCTAGCATATCTCTTGGTGAGATGGTTGGTCCCTTTACCTTTCAGCCTGAGCTTCTACTGAAGATTTGTATGAAAGGTCAGAGATACAGTATGGTAGAGAAGCAACTAAAAGTAAAAACATCATTTTATATGTTGAAGATTCAATCTTATAGCATGAGATGAATGTCTCATCACATACATCTAAGGCTAATATTTGTTGTCTAATATTTGTTAGTGATGCCTGCTTTAAATGCTTACCAATCTCTGTAGAGTCTATGGTTAGCACTTGATTTGTGTCAGTGTATTTCCTTTCAGTTTGCTCAGTTTCCTTCTTAGAGCGTCTCCTCTCCCTAACAGTGGTATCATTTATATACCATCAGATACTGATAAATTATTAGCAGTTAATCATATTGGAAACTTTTAAGTAGGCATTTATGAATCAACAAACATTTTCTATGTAGCATCACCATAAATAAACCCTCTCAGAATGTTTTTTGCTTTTGGAGTTGTGGAGAAAATGGTTAAATAGAACCAAAAGTGCAAGAAAAAGTAGAAAATCAAAAAGCACTTAACATAGGTTCACTTCTATAACCAGTTGCATAAGGGACTGATTGGAGCACCATGAGTTGGTCTGGCCAGGGTTACCCAGTAGCCTACCTTATAGGTGTCAACCTTCCCACATATGCACTGGTTATCCTGAGAATAGTACCTTCCGTGACATTCATAGAGGACAGCCTCTACAGACTCCCACATGCCTTGCCATAGACCACAGGAATAAATGATTGAACCTGAATGAACTTTTCTCATTATTTTCTTAGGATGGCTGCTTCTCTTCTAAATAGGTTAATACTCCAAGCTGTGAAGACTGAAAATAATTGCATTAGAAGGTGTTTTAGTAAACACATCATCATTAAAAAAGAAGCCCCAGCACAGTTGTTTCTAATTGCCTCTGGCCCAAGACTGTCCTACCTAATCCATACAAAAGGTTTTAGTACTGAAGACACACAGGATGAGAAGAAAAACCAGAAAAAGAGTAGCACCACTTTTTCTAACACTGGAAGGAAAATTAGCGAGCGAATTATTCATGTCTTTGATGAAAATGGCAATGACTTGGGACTCATGCACCGAGCAAATGTGATCAGACTCATGGATGAGCGAGACTTAAGACTGGTGCAGAGGAATTCCAGCACAGACCCCCCAGAATACCAGCTCATGACAGGAGTGCAGATCCACCAGGAACGGCTCAGGCTGAGAGAGAAGGAAAACAGACAGAAAACTGGTATGTGTTTTGCTGTGTGCTACCTGAATCCTTTAGAAGTACACGTCAGCCGGGTGCTGGTGGCTCATGCTTGTAATCCTAGCTACTCAGGAGGCTGAGATCTGAGGATGGAGGTTCAAAGCCAGCCCGGGCAGGAGAGACTGTGAGACTCGTATCTCCAATAAACCACCAGAAAACCGGAAGTGGTGATGTAGCTCAAGTGGTAGAGCGCTGGCCTTGAGCTGAAGAGCTGAGGGACAGCGCCCAGGCCCAGAGTTCAAGCCCCACGACCGACCAAAAAAAAAAAAGAAGTACACATCAGTTTAAGTTCCAGCATTTGCCAAGGAGCCTATGACAAGGGGTAATGAGAAAACTGGACCATTCAATCTTTTTAATAATTTCACCAACATTCCCAGTATTGTTTCCTCTTCCATCCCTCGCTTGTTCCCATTCCTTTTTTCTTCACTTTCTCTTGATCTGTGTCCAGTGTCTCTTCCTTTAGATATGAAGTGAGGGAGAAATAAAGTGAACCAAAAAAATAATGAAAACTTTCTCCTATCCATAGCCTTGGCTCCAAATGCTATGGCAGAGTGGCTGATGGATAATGACATGAGATTTGGAAGTGAGTGCCAGTTCCTGTCCTAGTCTAGGCAATTTAACCTCCATCCTTTGTTTTGGTTTTCAAGCAGCTTCTAAATTCTGAAGGGATTCACAGAACATCTCTCATGTCATAATACTCTATTGTAGTATAGGTCATGATGTGGATTTGCATACTTGGCCAGTCATCTTTCAGACACCTGTTCGGTGAAGCCTCATAGAGGTATGATTTGTATGGGAAGGATGTGTTTTTCATGGTTCTCAGAAAGTGCTGAATATTATGAAGTACTGCTAAGTAGGATGCACACTGGGACAAAGGACAGAGAGATGTCCCAGTGCAGCCATCCTGAAGCTGTATTCTTAAGGAAAGTCAAACCTTATCTTACCTCCATTTTATTTTTATTTTATTTTTGTTGGTTGTGGGTCTTGAGCTCTGGGGTATGGGCACTGTCCCAGAGCTCTTCAGCTCAAGGTTAGTGCTCTACCACTTGAGCCACAGCTCCATCTCCAGCTTTTTCTGCTTATGTGGTGCTAAGGAATTGAACCGAAGGCTTCATGTAAGCAAGGCAAACACTATACCACTGAGCCACCTTCCCAGCCCCCTAACCTCAATTTTACAAAGCAACATTTAACAAGGATGTTGACATGTCTGAAAACAGATATTCAGAGGAGATAAAGACATCAAACTGTCATATTCCAAACAGTTGAACAGAATAGAGAGGCTTGGAGAAGTTGAAGAAAATGTGTCAAAGGAGCTAATGAGTCCCAATAAGAGACTCAGAGCAAGCAAGTAGGTGTTAAGCCCTTTAAAACAACTTTTTAACTATTTTTTTTATCTTCTTTGTTACTAGGAATTGAACCCATGACACTGTACTTGCTAAGCAAGTATTTTGCCACACCCCAGCTACCTTTTAATGTTAAAAGCATGCAGAGAAAAGATAATAAACATGTTACCCATCGTTCAAAGTGAATCAAAACAAGACATTGCAAAAAAGTTGAAGTTCCTTCATCCTCCCCAAAAGTATCCCTGCTCAATTCATGGTTTTAGAGTATTAAGCCAGTCCAAGTTAAACTCATTATATCTAGATATATTCACAAACAGTATATACTGTGTAAAATGTGTAAAAGGCACATTTTTTCAAGATCTGTCCACATTTATATAATAGCTGCAGCTAATTTATTATAATTACTGTATGACATCTCTATGACCTTGGGCTTGTTCCCAGTTTTCCATTATTATGAACACTTGTGCATACTCTAGGTTCTATGAACCTAAATGGGTCAAATTGCACTCAGCATCAACATTATGAAATCTTCCTCTGCACTCTCACCCACACTTGGTACTGCCACACTAATTTTTATCTTGCTAATGGTGAGAAACCATCATTTCCTGTTGTGTTGCCTTCCACCAGCTAAGCACCTTTTTCTTTTTCCTATGTCTGTTCATCCTTATTTCTCTTGATCTTTCTCCCAGATTTGTAGTTCTATGTAATGTAAAAACCTCCTTGAATTTTAAATACCTTTGCCAGGTAAAAATCATCTCCCTCACAAAAAAAGGAGCTCCTTGGGGCTGGGAAGGTGGCTCAGTGGTAGAGCGCTTGCCTTGCATGCCTGAGGCCCTGGGTTCGAGTCCTCAGCACCACATAAGCAAAAAGAAAAAAGCCTGAAGTGGTGCTGTGGCTCAGGTGGTAGAGCGCTAGCCTTGAGCTGAAGAACTGAGGGATAGTGCCCAGGCCCAGAGTTCAGGCACCACGACCGGACCCCCCCCCAAAAAAAACGAGCTCCTGGGCATAAAACTCAAAGACAGATGGGGACTGTTAAGGTTTTTGTGGTAATCTAAGATCCTAACCAGCTGTGGGAGAAGTTCAAGTTTTAAAGGAGATTAGTAAATAGTCCCCGTACTAAATCTCAGTTTTAAACCAGGACCAACTGTGACAAAGGAATTAACTTTCTCTTCAAATATTGCACAACATGATTTGAACACAAAGAGTAAACAGATTCAGCAGTGGATTGAGAAAAAATACAAAGTTCAAGTTACCATAAAGAAGAGCAAAAATGCAGATGTGCCAGAAAATAAAATGGTAAGTAAAAGTAGGTTTTCTAATATAAAATTGTTGAAAATCTGAAAAATTAAAAACAAAGGTGACTGATAATTCTAGTACCAAATAAAGGTAACAGCTTTCTAGCTTCTCAATATGCATGGACATTGTTTTCCATTCTAACATCAGCTGCAATATGAAAACACTGCTCTGTCATATAAGAGTTATATAGTACTCTGTTTCACAGAAAGCATATATTTTACTTTTCCTTTAACATAGGAACAGCAGAAGCCTCTTTTAGGCTCTCTCTATCTTCTAGAGAAATGTTATAGGGTAGAATCCCAGGAGTTTTTAGGCATCTGTTCTGCTTTAAAGTTTTGGTAACTTTATCATCTATTCAAGGCAGCACTGGGGCCGTGGTTTTCAACCTGAGCTATGTGAGGATCACTTAGGCCTAGGGTGCAGCCCAAGAAATATGAACTGTTGGAGCCTGGGGTTTCTAGTTCTTTTAAAAATCACCCCCAATTGACCTGGAGCATATTAATGTTGGGAACTGCACTGAGCTAACAAATTTTGGGATAAGGAAGGTATATTGTCAAGGCCCAAACCCATTGGTATATGCTTTTGAAAAAGTTACTCTGGGGCTAAATGGAGCCCTTTAGTGCCAGAATAGTGGAGACAGGACCATCAAGTCTGCAGTGTGTCAGTTTCATGGAGTTTCAGTACGGACTTCAGTCACTTAATCCTATGTGAATTGCCTAACCAGTCATTTAAATAGCAGAAATTCAAGTGTTCTGGCTTTTTGTGTGTGTTCATTAAAGAACATCAGAGATGACGATTTTAAATTCATTTTGGATTGTTTTAGGAGGAGATATTTAACCAAATACTCCAGACTATGCCTGGTCTAGCTGCCTTCTTAACCAAACCACAAGCTGTTAAAGGAGGAAGAGCCTTCACATGTGTTTTCCGTCATCTGAGCAAAAAGGAAGAGAAGGCATATGAAGATGGCCAAAAAAGCTATAATCTGGACGACGAAAATGGGAATGACAGGGAATTGAGTGTTTAGCATCAGTATTTTAATTTAAAAAAAAAAAAAAAGCTTCTAAGTGAAAATAATCTCATTGGCTCCTTCAGCGAGGCTGAGCAGTTCCTAGTGGAAGGTGAAGTATTGCAACTGCCGAAGGCACCTGGTCTTCCACACAGCTCTGCGACTCTCCATCCTGAGACAAAGATGAACCTTTTCCCCGTTTCACTTTAGGAGGAATGTATCCACTAAGACGAGATGCCAAACTCCGTTTTTCACGAGATCTTTTTACCTTTGAAAACAAGGAAAACAGACTGGAATGGAGAATCGAAGTGACTACTTCAAATTGTTATACACGCCAACAAAAAATATTCCTTTACAGAGACCCACATCTTTAACAGGGGCACACACACAGTAAAGAAGGTGGAAATAGTCCACAGAGATGGGTGGCATGTGGCTGTAAGCAGGGTTGGTATTAAAGCAAACCATGACTGAGTAATTTCCACTTACTTTCATTTTCTTCTTGTCAGGATCATGTACCACAGCATGCCTGATGAGACTTTGCTACAGTGAAGGAAAAAGAAAAACATGATTTTAAAAACTCAACACATGGTGTTTAACATAAAAATGCAATAAATTGTCAGCCTTCCTAATGTTGTGTATTCCACTAAATCAGGAACTTATCTTCAACCTCTGTGCTTTGGGGTTTTGACAGACTTTCCTAGGGTCCTGTGTTAGGAATTTATACCATACAAACCACTTATAGGCTTAGTTCTTTCCTAAGAGGGGAGAAAGACTTTTCTATATGAACAATTCCAAGCTCAAATGTACTTCTAACTGAATCTATATAAACCAGTCCCTAAACACTGGTAGGGAATCTGCCCTGTTGATAGATGACAGTGCTGACTTCCTCAGCTTCCAGACATTTTCTAAGTCTGGGAGGTTCTGAGTGAGCCTAATTCTTTGTTTAGTTTTTATTATTATTTAAGGTAAGAGCCTGTAAGACACAAATTGCACAGGCCTCTTCTCATCCAACATTATACATCAAGTCCAGACATACACAAAATCCCAGTCCAGAGTTCACTCACTCTGTGTTAACCACTCCTCTTCCCAGGCCCTAGGTGATGGGCTAAAAGGACACCCAAAGTACCAACAAGCTTTCTAATGCTCTCCTACTTAGGATTTCTGGGCCCCTCTCAGCACTTTTGGCTTGACGAGGCCAGAGTGGACCAAGGAGCTACACTTCCAGTGAGCTCCCAGCGAACATTTCTGCCACTGAGCATGGCAACCGTGGCAGTTTTGCAGACCTGAGGGAAGAAGTATCTCAGCCAAAGCAAGACTGCGTGTATGGCATCTGTTCCCCCCCTCAGTATACCTGAAGAGCCCAGTGTGAAACAGGGCACTTACTTTCATTGCAAATGTTTTGCTACAGCCAGCATATTCACACACAAATGGGCGCTTCTCCTCATGGAAAGAGAGAATGTGGCTCTGGAGATTGAACACAGTTGTGTAGGTCCTACCACAGCCTTCTCTTGGACACCGATACACATCTCTTTCTGGGGCATGAGTTTTCATGTGTTGCTTAAGATGATCTTTGCGTTTAAATCTTCTCTGGCATACTTCACATGTTATTTCCTCTAGTGGAATAATCAGACAAATTTAGTTACTTTGCTATTTCTGTAAGAAAAATGAGCACTGAATGCTTAAATAACACACTCTAAATTAGACATTGAGTAGCTTATCACTACACAAAAATCAGAAATCTAGGAAAAATAGCCCTGCTTCTTAATATAAGAGGGTTGTCTCCATTTTCATGAGTCCTTATATCACTCCTAAGCTTCTTAGCTGTTCGCGTGTCAAGGTAGTCTTGAAATATTACCAAGCATCCTTCCCAGAGAATGCAGTGCCTCCCAAGGCTTCCCTGGTACCACATGCCCAGTAGTACCAGCCCTGAGACTGCTCATCACTCAACAGCCTAAGGAGCCAGCACTGACACATGTCTAATGTTTCACTATCCGTTTTATAGGAGCAAATATCTATATACTATGCCGTTCATGTCTGCCTTACCTTTATGGGTTTCTCTCACATGTTTTAGAAGTTCTGTCCATGTTTTGGCCACAAAAGAACATCCCTTTTGACATACGTAGCCTGTTTAAAAAAAAAAAGTCAGTGCACTGCCTATTCTCAGTGCAAACACTAACTATAAATAGGAAGGAACCTTATGCCTACATAACCTTTCTTCTCTCCCAATAATAGTCTATTCTGTTAGATTGAAGAGATGAGGACAAAAGCCAAGATCCAGTGGTGCATACGTACAATCCTAGCTACTCAGGGACTGAGACATAGAGAATTGAGCAGGGTAAAGCTACAGAAGAACAAACCAGAGAACAACTGACCAGAATGGACACATGCATAACACTAGAATTAGGATAATCTGTCAATATAAACAGCCATGCTGTTTCAACCCCTAGGAACTAAAAAAGAATGTAGCTGTTCTAAACACTTGTTCACTAATCTCACCAAAGGCTCCTGCATCTGCTATTTTGTCGCTGAAAAAAAAATAAATTCTAGGGTCTGGAATATTGAAGTACAGCTACTAGAAATCCCTCATAGAAACAGGTAATAGATAAAAGTGTTTTTTAATCTCATTGCTATGAAAACCTTATTAGCTAAGTACTCTTAATGGTAAACTAGGAAAAAGATAGCACAGGTAGGAAACAAAAGAAGATAAAAACAATATAAGAAAGTAGAGGAGTGCCCGATAACTAGATGTTCTGAAATACAGAGCATGGGTAAGGCAATATGAGCAAACAACAGTAAGCCTGAACAGCCAGAAGATAGTGGGAGGACACACAGTGGAGCCTTTTTGGGCAAAAGCAAAAGATCTGAACAAGCAGAATGGTGTTCTTGCCTATATATTCCCTACCTTCTCAGTATGACCAAAGTACGATCTAGAAAGCAGTCAACAAATCCATCATGCCCTACTGCAGTATTACCAGCACCGGCATATATAGGGCCTCTCTCTGTACATACCCTCGTGGACCTTCTCATGTCGTTTTAGCCTGCTGGGTGAGGCAAAGTGCTTCCCACATCCTTCCTGGAGACACCTGAGTAGCAACACTGAAGTATGAGCTGATCCATTTCAAGAGAGGGTAAAAGTACTTTGTCCTACTTCTCTCACCCCAGGCTCCCCTCTCCCAGCAACCAAACCAGTCATACACAGATAAGATTAACATAAAGCCCTAATCACAGGTAAAATTCAGATACCTGCCCAGCCTTGGAGCAAAGCAAACTTTGAAAAAGGCCACAGTACTTTTGTTTATTTGACCAAATTAAACATTGTTGTCACTCTTGTATCTCTAAAAGTACAAAATGACTTGAAGAGGCTGTCTGATTTGGCATAAGTAAACACTTGAGTCACCCAGAGCTGTCTGTAGTGTGTCTAACAAAGCTGCCTAGGGGTTATGACAATAAGAAAACAAATAGGAAGAGGCAGGAGCTGTGGATGAGCAATAAAAGCACAAGCTTGATCCCTAGCCCACCAAAATAACTATCAACAGAAGGCATGTGTCACTTGGGTGCTAATGCCACTGGCAATACTAGGATATGCCATTGACTCTAAGGACATTCTGATACTCGGCAGGACAAGGGCAGCCAGTGCAATCCAGAGGCAAAGCACCAGCAAACCCAGCCATTCAGGGAGCCACCAGCAGCAGGTGGTAAGCACCTTTCTGCAACCTGTGTAGCTCTATTTCACCATGTCCAGCCACCCTTGCATATCCTCAGGAAATGATAATGATCAGGAACTTGGACAGGGTCTACTAAAATAGTTGACACCTTAGATTTCCCATCAAGCTCAACCACAACTGTAATAAGCTCAACATTATTCTGAAACACATTATTTTTTTTAGAGAAATGACAACAAAATGTAACTTTGCAAATGTTCTGATACATAAATAGGCATACACAGGACACACAAACAGCCAGGCACCAGTGGCTCAAGCCTGTAATCCTAGAGGCTCAGGAGACTGAGATCTGAGGATCACGGTTCAAAGCCAGTCCAGGCAGAAAAGTCCATGAGACTATTATAATCTCCAGAAAACCAGAAGTGGCACTGTGGCTCAAGCAGTAGAGCTCTAGCCTTGAGCTGAAGAGCTGAGGGACAGCGCCCAGAAGTGTTGGTAAGGAAGCTGTATCAGGACACTGGCAACCCCCAACCTTTGCTTCTTGATCTGCATTCTAGAACTGCAGAGAATGCCAGCTTCAGGAAGCACCCACCTGAACAGGGGCTCGTTGGTATGCTGGCACTGATGGATTTTCAGCTGCTGGTGTTTCTTAAAGGCCTTCTCACAATCTTTGAAACTGCACTATTTAGAAAATATATGTTAGTCTTAACAAAAATAAAAGTATCTACAGTTCATAACAGTCTTCTTAAGACAAAAACCTTTCACTTTTTCCTTTTTATGCCAGCAATGGGGTTTGAATTTACAGTCTTGGTTCTTTCCCTTGGCTTTTTGCTTAAGGCTCCACCATTTGAGCTGCACCTCCATTTCTGGCTTTTTTGTTAGTTATTTGGCGATAAGAGTCCCTCAGACCTTTCTACCTGGGTTGGCTCCAAACCTAGAGCTTCAGGTCAAAAGTCTCTTGACTAGGATTACAGGTATGACCCACCAGTACCTGATTTGATAAAAGTCATTTTGGAAATTATGTAATTGCTACTCTTCACTACTTACTTACTACAAAATTCTACTTTATGTCAAGAACTTAAAGATAAATGACATTTGAAAAAGCAAAACGTTTTCAGTTGGGGTAATGACCTAATAGTACACTTTAATATGACAATGGTTGCTTGTAAATTAAAACCCCTGCCAGGCACTGGTAGCTCATGCCTGTAATCCTAGCTACTCAAGAGGCTGAAATCTGTCCAGGCAGGAAAAGTCCATGAGACTCTTATCTCCAATAAACCATCAGAAAACCAGAAGTGGTGCTGTAGCTCAAGTGGTAGAGCGCCACCTTGAGCTGAAGAGCTGAGGGACAGCGTCCAGACCCAGAGTTCAAGTCCCATGACCC